CCTTCAGCCAGATGAACAGCTTGAATTTGGAGTTGATTATATAAGTCTGTGGAGAAGACAGTCTCTCGTTTTTCAACAATTATGGGTTTTCGACCAATCACCAAATGCCTAGGCCAAACAACTTTGTGAACACATTCACTAATACAAGGTCTGTCTGAAACTTCCAAACCTTTAATAACAGCAGCTCCTGGACCTCAATACAGATACTGTATACTCTGTGAACCGCAGAGAGATGTGCCACTCATGAAAGAGTGTCATTGTCAGACCCGGTGAGCTAATAGAAATTATTCTGCTCCCAATCAATTTCAGAAGCCATCTGGATTTTAAACATTCATCTTCTAGACTTTTGCTTTCCAATGTTCTTTGAGCTGAACCAGCAGCAACAGGAAACATGAGCACAGCAAGTCCATGCTGACGTATGGCACGTGTCTCGGAGCAGGGAGCCAGCCTGCAGCACTCTGTGTGCACCGAGCTAGCCTCGCACACAGGGAGAATTTGAATGGAGCCCAGGATACAGCCAGACTTATTGCAAGTGACGCCTAACATATCTCCCATTGCTCTTTCAAATTGCATTGATAGTTTACAGTGAGCTGGCCAACACAATGTTCTCTTCTGTGCTGGCACGAGTCTGATATTCCTTAACTTTCTTTAACAAGTGCAAACTGGGTGTTTTGCTCCTCAACCACGTGTGGTTTACAAATTAAGAGCCAGGTACTCTCCTAGACATCTGGTCTTGCTTTTCTGGCATGATGCTTGCCAGATCTGACATGCAGACTTGGTTGTTTGCAGAAACTTTGAACCGGTGGGGTAAATTATAAGGCAGTCTGAGCTCTTTGGCACAGGAAGGTACAACCTGTTGTTGTACACTGTAGTAGACAATTGACAGAAAAACAACTTCTTTAGTTTTCCACAGATTTGACAATTATGAGTTTCAGTTCATGACATCCACTGCACCCTAAGTGCAAACAATAAGCTACACAAAAACTATAGAAATGTTCATATAATTACATAATGATGTGATTAGTGATTTTTTTTTTACTTGATGAAATCCTTATTTCGGAAACACAAATACCGCTTGACTTCAATCAGACAACTTGGGATTTTGTGCAGTTATCAGCTGTTGTGTTTTGTATTTTTGTTCTCTGCTGCCTTTAGATCCTTGATATAACAACAGAACTGATTTTTCATGAACAAAACACCGCTGGTGAACTGAGGAGTGCATTTCCTCCGCAGTCCCCACGTTATTTAGCAATTCCCAGCCCGGGGTGTGAGAGAGGGAGACTGAGCAATGCAAGATCCCCTCCCACAGCCCTTCAGTACATCTTTTGTTGTACAGCCATGTACATACAGTACTGGGTGGGTCAAAAGTCGTTTAGCAATTTTTATTTTTACAGCAGCAAATTCTCCAAACTGCTCGCCTTTGTTATTTCATGAGCAAACCTCTGTGTGCATAAACATTTCACTCTGACTCTCCTTTTCCTTCTTCCTCTGACATAATCCCCTGCACACAATAGCTATCATGTGTGTCATTGAGAGAGAGCGATGGGTTTGTATTGCGCAGGGCTCGTCTTTTCGATGACTCCTAATGACATATTTCTGAAGCCCCCGGCTGGCTTCCACCTGAGTGCTTGGTGTCGTTAGATTGCACAGAGAATGAGCTGCTGTTGGGGCTTCCTGGGTGACTGTGAGGCTAAGAGCAATGCAGCCCAGGACTTCCCAGTTCAGAGGTGCTGCAGCCTAGGAGGATTAAGAGACACTAAGAGGAGATTAAGGGAAGTTTAGACAAGAAGAACTCCTGTTCCTGGAGGCGTGCAGAAATGTCACACTGGTGACACAAATTAGTGCAGAAATTACTTCCAATAATATTACTGTATAAGACAGTCATTCCTAAAAGTTAAGGAGGGGAGGAATGGTGAAGAAGGGAAGTATTTATCTCTTAGATACCCAATGACCTCTTCATATCTGCTTGGCAAGTCCTCATTTTCATTATTTCTCTAACCAGGAACCCCCGGTGAAGCTCTCCATCGCTAGAGGGACCAGACATTGAAATACAAGCAAATAGGACCAAGAGACCCAGCAGAAGCAGCCCCACAAAAACTTTTAAACTGGTTGCAAGTGGAGGGTGACCGGACTTGATAGCCAGGTCTGCTGGGCTCGGTAGCTTTGTGCGGCGCACGTCTGCAGGTGAGAAAGAGATTTGGGGAACGTGAAACCGCTGGATGCTCACTACCTCCTGGGTCCTCCCTGGCGTGGGCCGTAGCCCAGCCCAGCAGAGTGACTCACTAGAGGCGGGACGTCTTCTTTCATTTCCTGTGCATTCAGGCATGCAGCTTCGCTTCTATTCATAGAAAAAGATGGAAATACATTTCCAACAAAGAAACAAGTCAATATTCTTTCATGGACGAAGCCTTTATCCGAGTATAGCCAGAGGGTGTATTTCTGTGCTTGGTTTCTGAATGAAATGTGAACAAGGTGCCTTCTGCTTCGAGTACTTGCATTGTATGTGCCTGTTGCTCTCCTTCCCAAAGTAAAAATATGCTGTGTTTAGCTTTGTATTGATATGCCAAGGATCTGATCAGGATTAAATGCACTCTACGTTCTGGCCTTGACAAGGAACCCATTCTAATTAACTTTGACAGTTTACTGAATCGTGCCTGCTTGGAAGTTTAGAGAAACGCGTGACATGAGAATCATTCCAAACGCGGATGGAAAGCACACACATAAAAAGGCAAGATTTGCCAAAAAAGTAATTGTTTTGGATGATGAGGACTTTCAGCGCAGCACTCGACTATGAAAAAAACAATTAAAATTTGTATTTAAAAATGAAACGAAGGTTGGAATTTCAGTAAAAGGCAATTGATCTGTACGTACGAAGTGACACCCTTCAGACGTAGCTGTTAACACTTTCCCCTTTAAAATGTCAAAGGCGCCCTATTGGAAGGAAGGTGGTGGGTTCAAGTCCCTTCTGTAGACGCTGCTGTCATACCCAGCGGTGCTTTAACCCCTTTATTCCAGACCATTCAACCGTACATACAAGTACCAGCATTGCTTGAGGCTCCTCTATGACAACAGTGTTCCATCCAGGTGAGGTTAACAGGCTGTCAGTCTGCTTGATGCTACAGAAACGGAGATGAGTTTCAGCCTGATGCGCATCTAAGCCCATACACATGACAGCTTTGCTACTTTTGAACAAGGATGTAATGGTTGTGAATTATCTCACACACTTGCACTCATGTTTTAATGTTCTTCCTAAAGCAGACCAGCACAAACAGTAAGAAACACGTCACCACCATTTCCCTTCATTGGGTTTTACTCCAGATTGCAAATGTCCATGGAAAAGACAATGGTAATGCTTTGTGAGCTCTTATTTTGTAAAGTTTTAGTTGTAATATTTGGCAGAAAGGATGTTCTGTATACCAACATGCTGCTCATTTGTTAACTCATTTTTTCCCATTTTAACATGTAAACATAAAAGTTTAACTGCTTAAAAATAGAAAATGGCTTTGAACTGACAACAGCAGAGGTAGTTCTTAACATTATAAAACCTATTTTATCACTTGTGCTATGTGCATACATGGCTTATTACATCAGCTGTGCTTTTATTGGGCTCTGCAGTGCTCTAACTTTGTTCAGAGATTGTTGGACTTTGCCGGAAACCCAGATCTAACAGGTGACTAATATGAAAGGGCTTTAAACTGAACAAAAATGTGTCAGTGAAAATATGAGAAGGACTGAAGAGTTAGGAATTGAATATTTGATCATTTAATATACATTTGGCTGTTAGTTACACTCATTCCACTTTTAAAACACAATGTAAAGGATGAAACATTTATCACATTACTGAAATGCAGCTTCAAAGTTAGAATCAGAGTCACACCTTACACAATGTAGGGTGTTTCTGAAGTCTTTGTTGTGAGATCCCTACACTCAGCCATGACACTGCACACCCAGTAGGTAAGACCAGAGCTGGTGGGAGCCTAGGAGGCTAACCACAGAGGTGGAGTGCTATAAGGATGACCTTTACAGAGCAGCACAAAAGACCTGGACCTTTGAGGTTACCTCAATAGCAAAGGAATTCCTTTTTTATCCAGTTTTCTTTACTTTACAGATTAACCCATGACTGCGATTACTACTTTACAAGATGATTAACTCTACTCCAACTTTTGCCATTTAAAAGGAACCGGGGCTACAATGTAGCGATGCACTGCCATGCTGCAGATGCATGTAATTTACTTTAGAAACTGTGTGGAGGCACTGGAGCTTCAGTGAAACGGTGTAAACTTAACTGTCGTCAGCACATCACATTACATTTTTAAAAGTCTCCTCAACCGATTCTCAAATGCGACTCCACCTTTTTCACAAATGAGGCCTTTACCATAAAAGCCAGCTGTACTGTAAAATACTGATGGGTACGATCCTCTCATGAAGTGTGAAAACAATCATTTGACTTTGAACTTTGAATGGTTAGATCGTCTGGCAGGCACGCGTACAGTGTACACCAGATATTACTTAACAGAACTGAATGATTGGACAAGGAGTCAAAAATCTCCAGTTTTTTAGGTAATTAGTCAGTAAGTTAATGAGTATGGCAAGCAGGCAGATAGTAATGTTCGTTTGGCTATAATATTCAGGAAATGGGATTTATTTCAGAAAATTCCTGCCCCACTTTCTCTCGAGACAGAAAATAAAACTCTTGTCATGGGTGGTCATCAGCATGGACGGTGGGCAGCAGGTTCCCAGCAGCAGCTGCTGCACATACTGGGAGACAGAGGGATTCTCTCCTTGCTCAGCCCCTGTAGATGCAGAGGATCCCAGACTGACAGGCGCATCGTCCTTGCGCACTGCCTGCTGCAGGAGCTCCTGTGCTTTGAGACCTAGCAGCATCTAATTAGCATGTCAATAGTAACCTGACTCTGTGCAAGCTTGCTAGGAGGAGCTAGGAGAAAGCAAGCACTGATGAAGCCCAAACTACACTCCTTCGCACGACTTCTCACCCTCCCCTCGTCTCCCCCCTACAGAGCAGCAAACTGGAGTCCAGCGCACTGAGGAGGAGAAGCTTACAGGAGTACCGTGCTGAAGAAAAGTCACAACAACATACAGCCGTACCGCACTTCTTAAAGGAAAATAATTTCTTCAGTCATTTCTCCGGAAACATGCTGCTGGTTTTCCTTTCTCTCCCTGCACACACTGTCATCAGAGAAAAGCAAGAGCTGTCATGAGTGGAGCCTTCCGATCTGACAAGATCAAGGGAAAAGCAGTTTTTGCAGTTATTGGAGGATGAAACACCTCCTCTCCATATCTCTCAGAAGTAGACAGCCTTGCAAAGATGTTTGGCTTTTTTTTTCTTCCTCGGTGTAGATGAACATCAGGCTTGGATTATCCTCCTGAAGGTATCTGTGGAATGAGCCTTGAAAAGCAGCGAAGAATATAGTCCTGTAGACATCTCTCGTTTCAGAAGAAAAGTGTGGCGGATGGTGATCACTGGTTCTTGAATATGAAAAAAGGACCTTTTGCGTTTTTTTCTGAGAGTGACTTTTCAAGATGTGGCAGCATTTTTACGAATAGAGATGTAGGACAGTTTTCAAACATACAAAGTCTCTTAGAATAATTTTGTCCGCTTTATACAGAGATTACTGCAAAGTATGCTCTATCCCTCAATGTATTTAAATTCTCTGAATCATCTACGAAGAATCCAAAGAACTAACAAAAAATGACTCTGAATGGCTGACATTTCTCATCCTTCATCTTGCTGGTTCAGAACACATTTCCTGATTAAGAAAACCGTCTGTTGAGTCAGATTAAAGAAATCGGACAAGGACAGTAAGATAAGACATGTTTAATTTTTTTAAATAATAAATGGAACCAGCCTCTATATCCTTTTCCAAATTTAAGTCAGACCTTTTTTCTTTTTCTTTTTTTACAACTCATTCATCAGTCCTATTTTTAATTGAACGATTTATGCACAGTCCTTCTTTTATTCATTTTTTAAATAAAAGAATGAATTATGTTTTGATTTCCAGCCAGGTTCTTGACTTAAACACAACAGCTCAGACTTCATTGAAGTACGAATAAGAAGGTCAGTTTTCACATGCTGCTCAGTGGACAGTTAGCATTCATCACATTCGAGGTTGGGAATCACAATTTACGCAGAGCTTGAAGAAACCGTTTCTGGTAACAAATGTTTCACCAGTCGACTTTGCTGGCGGTACCTCAAGCATGCTGTGAATTATGTTCGGATTTCTGAGAACAATTGTTTATAGGCAAGATGGGAAATTCTGGCTCTTTTTTACTGATGGAAATCCCTAGATGTCTGAGTGCTTTCAACTGATTTTAAGATGCTGCAGAACTTGGACTGATTGTTCTGCAAATTCCCTGTTCTTAAGCGATCCATGGAGTTAGAGTGGAACTGGCAAATACGTCGCTGCCTCTATTCCCCAGTCCTGGTATTGGAATATTGCTATTGATCCTACCTGGAGGTCAATTAAAGACTAAGCTGGGCAGACAAGTCTGGATTATCCGGGCGAACGGTAAGGACGCAACCTCTTTTGCACACATAAGCTGCAGCTTTATGGGAGAACTGTTACGCACCACTGGGCCAAATTCATAAAGCACTGGCATGCCAGAAAATGCACAGGATTATCACAAGAATGCTTTCTGGAAACCAGGGGGTAGTGTTTCTAGGACTGCTTTTAAACACCTGTCGCAAGTGCAATGGTGGATCCTTATATGTTAGACTGGGCTGTTTTAGAACACAGTGACATTACTGAACGTCCTATTTTTAAAAATATTTTTATGAGCTTCCTATCATCATGTGAAAGATTTTAATGATCTATAATATATAATAATATAACATGTTTTTTATCCTATTTATCAGCAGTAAATACGTACTCTCATAACAACATACAGTACTTTGAGTCTTTAGGTGTAGTGTGAACTATAGAACATTTATCTAGTGATGTCTGACTTGGACCTAGTGTTTGGTCCCCTTTTAGGGATGGTTAAAACGCTACATGTCAATTTCTGGTTCCAGAAGCTAATTTCTCTTTTAACAAACTCCATGGAACGCAGAAGGAAATAGTCCTGATTAGACTGCTCCATGAGGAGGGCAGTCACAAGCAGACCAAGCTGCTAGGGGATAAGCCTTTGGTCTTTTGAGCCTGTAACCTCTGATAACCTGGGTTCTGATCCGGCTTATACAGTATATGCGAGCCCAGTAAAGGCTACTGCTGATTAACTCTGAAAAAGATTCCTGGTTAGCCTCAACAAGTTTTTTTTTTTTACTTTTCTTCTTGGGACTATATTTGTTTCTGCTGGAACTTTAGTATTTATACAGTGAAAACATCTTTAGGCATTTAAAATTCAGGTGTGTCAGTGTCATGCAAGGTGGACACAGGGTGAAATTTTGTTTTGCATTTCAAGCATCAGTTAAATTTTAATTATTAGGGAGTAAATAACATCAGGGAAGCCATTCCAAGCCTGTGTAACTATCACATTCTATAGGACACATTCTATAGGAACAGAGAGGAAGAAGGAATCACTAATATAGCAACACTTGAATATCCAGGAGTGGTTGTGAAATGCAAATGAATGCTGAATAGATTAAGTGAAACAATAATCATGCTGTCTAATTAGAAAACCCTCATTATCAGAAATGTTTTTAGAATGTTTTTTACAGGGTTACTGAGAAACCAATGAGATTGGAGCAGTAGTAAGGATGTCCCCAGTAAAAATAACTTATTTGGATAAATACAAATTTCACACACGTAGGAAAAACAAGATCCTACATGATCCTAGATTTAGTGATTTCTGAACGATGGTAGAAATAGAGGATAAAATTGAAAATGGTGGAGAGTGTAATGCCAGTCACCCTTTACAAACTGAAAATGATTTGCTTTTATATAGACATGCACCAGAGATGTTCTTAAAAACTGTTTTAAAAATTAGCTTGTTGAGTAGCAAGCAGACACCACAAAATATGATTGTATTATTGTTAGTTCAAGTTATAGTTTTAAGCTATGGATAATTTTAGAAAGAAATCCTGAATTAAAGAACAGGAGAGCCTCGTGAGAAAAATTTTTTTTTTTCCTTTTTCTATTTGGTCATTTTACACATTTAAACATGTAAACACCTGTTTTAATAAAATTTAGGAGGAGGAGCATAAATGTGTATGCCCCTACAGTGCTTTTAAAAATGCTTGTATAATGCCCTTTTTATCTATGAACTTTTAGAATAATAAGTTTTATGCATTAAAACATATTTTGATAGTATCATGTTAAACCGCTCTTTCTATGCAGCCCTGTGTAACGGTATAGTTTGGGTTATATAAAATGAACATGAGGGTCACGCAAGATCAGGTTTCTGTCTGAACTCCACAAATTCAAGAGTATATTCACAGGCAGGACCTCCTTTTAGCACTTAAACTTGTTTCCTTTTAAATGCAGCTTTGTGGTGTATCTATAGAGAGGTGAAGTCATGTTATATCACAAAAAATGAGGATATGGTGTTTTCCTTGGGTTAGCATAATTCCACACTCTGCATGATGAAGGTGCTCGTAGACATCAAACTTTATCTTTTGTAATATGTTCTCTTTAAGATTTATCTTTAAATACCCTATTTTGATATATACAAATATGTCTATATGAATACAATTCTCTGCACATTATCTATTTGGGTCTCACTTTACAGTAGGTATTCACTCATAAAGCACGTGAATTTGAGAAGAAAACAACTCAGTTCCCAAAACCTCCCACAAGAGGGCAGCTCCCACTTCACACACAAGATGATTCTGGGAAATGTAAAATCATTTCTGTTGAATTTTCACCTTACTGTTCACACACAGCATTTACAAGGCTTGAATAATTCATATCCAAACAGTCACCAGAACTGTCTTGATTATGAATAACCTGTTCTGCTGCACTACCTAATTTTCCAGCTAATAGTTTAGAACATCCACATGTTGGATAGCTGCATTGTTATTGTTCATGCACGACAGCACATAAAGTGCAGAAAACTACCACAGTCCTTGTGTGTTTGTGTATGACTCTACACATCTGAGTACTCATGCGGCTTTAAAACTGGAGGGAGTTAAACCGGCCAACAGGTACAGTGGAATACAGGTCTGGTCTTTAACTGGCTCCTCTTTTCATGTTTCATGACATTGATAGGTGTTTTTCTCATTCTTCAATAATAATGGCACTTTGCAGCTATTTAAGATTCATTTGTTTTATTGCTTGAATGGCACAACCAGATTTACCTCGGCTCAACTAGTGAATTTCTTGCACAGGCTATCAAAAACTGATTTACCATCTACCCCTGGGCATAAACTGATTTTCTTATTTCAAGAAAGAACATTAAGTACTCTTTATTATCTGCATTTTTATGTCAGTGAGAAGGGCATAGTCAATCTTCTCGATATTGACATTGAAATAAGTAACAGGCAAAGAGCCAGATGACTTCTTTAGCCCAAATGTTAAGGAAGCAATACTGTATTAAATCAGATCTACTTTAGAAAAAAGGTGACGTGAGTTATTATGCTATTTAGATACTGCTATCAGTAATGAATGCAGTGCTGTCTTGACACTATGTCACCTGACAAATTGAACACTAAAACATGAAAAAGAAAGCCAACATCAGTTTTGGTCTGGTTCCTGAAATTGAATTAGATTTTCAAGCCTTTCAGTGTTAACAGGCACATCAAAGGCGGCCTGAGACTCCAGTGGCCAAATGTTTTCTGACTGGGTGCAGATTTCAATTACACAAAGATTTCTGATCCCTAGGGTATTTGATTTAAAAATGGATGTATGGTCTTCAGTTCCAGAATACTGTGTGCACAGAGGAGAATTACCTGATGATTGATTACATGACTCTTTCATGAATCATATTAAGAATGGCATTGTGTCTCTGCATGGGAGTTTCGGAAGAATTTGCTTCGCAGAATTGCTAAAGTCATTAAATATTAATTTGAGCAAGGTATCAGACTTTCAACAGGACCTCTCTTGCTCTATACCTTCAGACGCTACATCTCCATGTTTGTTTCTTTTGGGGGTGGTGGACTGGAAATATTTAGTGTTTTTTCAACCCGACTTCGCATATTGTAAACATGCCGACTTTACAAATAGTCTAGGATTTCAGTGGACGAGAAAGAATGTTTAAGTAATACTTTCTCCAGAAAATCCTGGTTTTACAACACTGGAACTTGATAATACGTAAAAACTGGTTTAAATAGCCATGGCCATAGAATCCAAAGTCTATGGGAATATTTTTTTTTTACAAAACAACACTTACATTTAATTGGTTTAATTGGCTCACTGGCATGCAGCAATGTTATAAACAGCAGGATACCCAGCCTAATAAAGCAAGCAGCCAAGTACACTACTATTACTGCAGGAGGGAACTTGTTCTGATGAAAACATACTCACAGTGCAATACAAACGAATAATTGCTTTCCTTTTCTTTGTCATGTATTATACTATTGGGAGGCTTAAATGAACACAACAAATTAGGTCTAATACTGTTTGTCCACCTGCTACTGAAAGTCACTTGTGGATATGAGTCAAGGCACTCTGTCAGAGGGAGTCCCGAGCAATGAGTTCGGCAAAGAAGAATGGGGTTTCTTCCCACTGATCTCTTGTTCGTTGCATCTAACCCCTTGTCTATCTGCTTAACCTCCTACACCAATACTGGCCTCTCTCTACAGCTGGTCTGCAGTCAGTAGGACTTACTGTCTGTCCTGCCTTTGGTCTTTAAAGCTTCACTCTTTTTACGTTTTGCATTCACAGTGTAAAAAAGAAAAACAACTTTTTTTCCAGCTCTGGATGTGTCGTGGAGGAAAGGGGTGCAGTCTTCAGTTTTCCAAGATCAGTGCAGGGTGGCCGGAGCATGTGGCCGAATGACCATTAGTGATTGCTCACTAGGAGTGAATGGCAGAACAGAGCCGCCTATATTACATCAGTTACCGATAAAGCCCACAGTGATACAGTTAGAAACCTTGAGCTGTAATTCCACTGCCTGCAAGAACAAAGAGACAAGCTTAGCTGAGGAATGCAAAAGCTGACATTTTTTGAGAAACATAAAATGTCTTAACAAGAATAAATAAAGGTGTCTATGAAGGCCCTTGAAATTATCCGCCCCAGGGTGTAGGAAGGTCATAATCGTCCTTGCTGTCTTTTCAAACAGTCTACTTATGAGGGTTTGGCATATACTTTGTGAAAGCTGCTCCTTGAGCTAATAATCACAAATAAAAACCACTGCAGCAGTGAAGAAAATTTGTTTCATACTTTCTGGAACCAGATATGTTTTTTATAGCACCGATCAGCACCTCTCTACTGAATAACTCTAGATTAATTTCCCTTTAATATCTGAAACATTTTTTGCTATCAAATCTCTTTTCTCTGGGGCCTAACCAACATCAAAGCAAACAGTTTATATTACGGTAATTACATCAAAGCTATTGTGAGCTGTACTGGATCTGTGGGTAATTTGTTATCTGTGCTGTGCTGTTGTATTTAATGCAGCTTAATTACTGCAT